TTTTTCCTAAATTGCATGTGCTACAGCTGAATCAGCTCTGTGCACGCTGGGTCTTGGGGGCCTGCATCTGTCTTTATTTGCAGGATGAGGCTTTTCACAGGGAGCACCTTAGTTTTTTCTATGACGAAAAACATCCAAAGGACTGACCGTTTGAATCCAAGAGCTTCTCCTTAGATAACCGTGATGATGTTACAAAGTGTGCGGTAGCCTTCCTTTTTTTTTTTAATCGGGATTCATTCAGAAAGAGCTCAGACATTACTGCTCTTCCACTTAACACGAGGTTATAATGCGGAGGCCTCTCAAGATGATGGTGCCTTTGAGAGGAAAGTTCTTCAGCCTTACTCAAGAGGAAGGTTAAAAAGCTTCTTCCAGCTATCTTGAGAAATGGGGTATTGCTTTAAATTACTAACGGTATGAATGCACATAGAGGCCATCATTTAAGGAGGCGGGTTAGGTGGAGTTACTGACCTGTAACACTTTTACTGTCCTTATTTCTTCGTGAGGTGCATCAGATCAACTTGGGGAATGTTAGTGGAAAATGTCAAGCCACTTTCACTGTTGTTTTTTTGGTAGTGTGTGAATTAACTTTCACTGTATTACTTGATTTTACAAATGTGGGTCACTTTTTTTTTCTTCACAATAATTTTAAAGACATGAAAGGAAAAGTATTATCTGGCTAATTTATTACAAAATTCTGAATTGTCATAATTTTAGTTTAATTACAGTCAGGGTAAATATTTAGTTTCCTGTTTGCCTTAGTTTAAGCTGTAAAGCAACAGGTAAACTATGTGGTCATCAATACGGCCCTTTTAGAGTTGCTTCTGTAGCACATTCTGGAACTTCTGAATTTCCTAATGCTGGTGTGTATAAATCCTCAGCTTTAGTTGTTGTCAGTTGAATCTACTGCACAGATCTGAAAAATCAAGGGTAACTTCTGTTTTGATTCGGCAACTCAGTCCATTTTGACACCACCACCGGTCCGACTGTCCTGGGTCTCAGAGTGAAAGCACAGATTTAACTGCTGCAGGCTCACAGCTCCAGGCAGCACCGTTCTTGGTGTGTAATTAAAAAGCCTCAAGCTTTCTTACCTTGTCACGCTTCTTCATCCCTCCCTCTGCTAGTCCTAATTCACCTCAGTGTCAGCTCTGCCATTGCAGCAGATGCCTGGATTATGGAAATCGTTACAAGGATTTATGGATACATTTAGATACAGTATTGCTAACCAGCTTGCTTTTTCCATGACTTTTCAGAGATTCCTCTCATAAACAGGAGAAAAGTCAGTTTTGAGTCTGGAAAACAATCAGTTCTTACCCACCTCTGGATTCTGACAGACTGATACTTAAAAAGGAAAAAAAAAACCCACCCCCATGCATGACTCTCAATTTAAGGCGGATTCTGACAGACTGATACTTAAAAGGAAAAAAAAAAACCACCCCCATGCATGACTCTCAATTTAAGGGGGCTCTAGGTAGAGGCAGGAAATTTCTGGCTGAAAGGGTGTAAAGGGACAGCAATAACCACAGTTGTTGTTCCTGCTAGGAAGCAGAGGTTGTATTTTTCCTGTATCTTGATGACCATTTGGTGGATCCTCACAAGAGTAGACTTGCTACAAATTCATTCTGTTTGATCTTATAAAACATCCCACTTTACTCCTGTCAGCGATAGTCTGACAGGTTTACTGGAGCCACACTCGTCCTTGGGCAGGGCGGTTTCTATGTGGAAGCTCTTCATGGCATTAGAGGATGGGGTTTTTTGTGTTGAGCTGAAGGACCACCCTTTCCTGTGAATGCAGGTATCTCTCTTTTGGGATGCAGGGCTACCTCTGTTTGGCATCCTCAATGCCAAACATAATTTTTGGATTTGTAGCTTGACTTTGCAACTCCAATTCCAAGAGCACCTTGCCTCTGCAGATATTCCACAGATACCCTGTATCATAAAGGAGTCCTCTTTGCATTTCTATGGATGTACCAGTCCATGCTTTTCCTTCACTAGCTTCAGTGGTGTTGTATGTCTCCATTCTGAGATAGAATCATAGAATACCGGGTTGGAAGGGACCTCAAGGATCATCTGGTCCATCCTTTCTTGGCAAAAGCATGGTCTAGACAAGATGGCCCAGCACCCTGTCCAGCTGAATCTTAAAAGTGTCCAATGTTGGGGAATCCATCACTTCCCTGGGGAGATTATTCCAATGGCTGATTTTTCCCTTGGTGAAAATTTTCCTCTTGTGAAGAATTTTCCTCTTGAAATAGGGTTACCTATTCAACTTTGTACTCAGAGGTAGGAACCTGTATGAAGCTCAGATCTGTCGAGATGGCCTGCAAAGTTTCTTGCTGTAAATTCAGGGACACTACATGCAAGCAATGTCTGACAACAGCACTGTAATATAGGATGTTAATGAATAAGATAATGCCAGTTCCTCACTTCTGTGCCTTGTGCTTGCAAAACTTTATAATTAGAGTACCAGGCAGTTTCTGGAGGTTGGAGGACCTACGTGTGGCTTGCTTTCATATTTGTACTCCAGAGTGGGATTGAGCTTGGGCTTCCTGGGTGGAAGTGCTCTGGAGTGGAAGTCTGGTGGACACCCTTCCTCTAGTGCCTCTCCACCTGAAGATAATGTTAATCCTTGCCTAACTCAGAAAGTTATAGTTTTGGATTTTCTTCAGTTTCTCAGTGGAGGATCCTTTGTCTGCTTGTTTTGTCTCTTGAGGCAGGATTCAATACAGATCCTACATCTGGATTTAGCTACCCCAGCTTGGATGCAGAATGGCTTTTGTTAAATGAAAGACTTGGTTTCTCCACTGTGAGAGATGTTCTCATTGTCAAAAGAAAATCTGTACCAGAGAGAAACTTTATTCAAGTAGACTCAGTACTATATCTGGTGTTAATTCAGGTCCACGATATTGAGATATTTACTTGGGCTTGAAGAATCTGGCTTTGTCCAGTAATTCTGTCAAAAGTACATCTGTCAGTTGTTTCTGTACCTCTTCTGAGAGCTCACTGGTGTTCTCACCCTTCTAATTCAAACTATGAGTCTTGGTCAAAGCACCCCCCTTTCCCCAGGGTACCTGACAAAAGTGGAGTTTAAACTGAGCATTTACGTGTCTTGTGATTACTTTGAGCGTGTGCACGCTGGTCCATAGTTCTCATGCCAGTGTAGGTGGCTTTTCTCATTGCTTTCCAGTAACAAGGTATCTTTGGATGTGTGCATTTCACGTCCATCTCCTACTTGCATTCCCTTCATCCTTGCAGCGTTTAATGTCTCCCTTTAAATTACACGTTGAGAAAAACTGAGTATAGAGGGAGCTTGCATTAGCTTCTGTGGAGGGCAGCAACTTGCATTCCTGATTTCATTTAGCAATACCTGTAGCTAGTTGAAGTGCTTATGGCTTACTGTCACCCACATTGAATAAGCACATGGATTATATATCTCAAAAGAGTCAATTTACTTCTAATTCTTTGCCATTTTATTAAACAGTGATCACGTGTCTCTTTGGAGCTCGGTAGAGCTCAAACATTTCATGTATTGATAGCTTGCTTGCTGATAAAGGCAGCTTTGCACATGTTTAAAAATTCATTGAGGGAGAATGCATGTTCTTTTTTGATCATAAGGGCAGATGTTATCCAAAAAACTTTTCACAGAGATTGTACCATTATTTTAAGCTTTCTAGCTTGCATTTGTGTGCAAGTCCTTAATTGAATATTTGCAAGAGGCAGTTGCACTCTACCTTGCCCTTTTCTTTAGCTCTCTGGCCCCACCAGGAGTGATCCCTTTTAAAGTAAGGGGAAAGCTAGACTGCAAGCCTATCTTCTACCAGCTCTCTTCCAGGAATTAGATCCCTTTCCTCTGCAGGAAAATTCTTAATGTGTCTGCAGTTGGAAGATGCAACCAAAAATGTTGACTTCATGTTCTTTACTAAAAGCTTTAATAGAAACTGGCTGACAGTATGCTCAAGTAAATGGTACCACGAGGATATTGTCCTATATGTAATCGAGTTGCTTGTGTGTTGTTTTCTTTAACATAATTCCTCAAAATAGCTTCATTGTTCTGTGGAAAACGGCAGCTTTTGCTTTTGTCTGCCTCACAGTAGGGAGAAAGAATAGAATATGGAAGTAAGATTATAGCAGGAATTTTACATTATTTTCCCCAGAAACTTTTTTTTTTTGCATAAGGTGACTTAAATTCAGAGCAAACTGTTCACTAGGTGACTTCTTACAAGTGGCATCTATACCACCTGATTATAAGTTTGACGAATCTAGAGAAAATTTACATTAAGTAATGTAGATTCACAGGGAAAAATGTTTTAACTCATAAAATTTTGAAGCAAGGGGCTATTACGATGATCTACTAAATCTGGCTGTATAAACTCAGTGATTTGATCTGAGTTGAGTTGAAGAGCTGACTCTTTATGTACACAGTTTCTTATAGAAGTTGTATAAAAACGAAAATGCAGAAAATGAATGTTAACATAAGTGTATTTTTAATAACTTACTGTTTTCAAAGATCATTAGTTATTCTAAAAGTTTATTTCTTGTGTGCCAACATACAACACTTCTGCTGTCCTGTCTGTAATTTGCTACCATTTATCTAGTTTTAGTCATGTTGTCGACTGTCTGCTTGTGTTGAATAAGACTAATACAGGTATTGACCTGAACTGGTACTCCAGTGTTGGAAATTTCACCACTACTTAAACCTTGACATGACAGTGCCTGTTAAGTTGATCCTCAACAACTACTGATAAATAAAAATATATGTACCTGACTGGATAAAGACCTAAGCAACCTAGTTGAATTTCATAGCTGGCCCTGCTTTGAGCAGGAGGTCAGGCTGGAGACCTCCTGAGATCCCTTCCAGCCTGACTTATTCTGTGATACTTGTGTGAATATACATGTGTGAGTGTATAACTGTGTGTGTCATATTTATGTATAATTTATAAAGAGACATTGAGTGATTTCAGATATAGCTATAATAAATTTTCATTCTGCTGGTTTTCTTTGCCCAGTCTGCCACTAAGAAACCTCGGAAGTCTCCAGCAGACAAGGGTCGTTCTGAATCTGGAGCTAGAGGAGCAAGTCGTGGAAGAGCTAATGGCCACCCTCAGCAGAATGGAGAAGGGGACCCTGTCACTTTGTTTGAGGTGGTTAAGCTGGGGAAGAGTGCTATGCAGGTAAAGTAACTGCTTGTGTTACCCATTCACAATTCAGTATATCCTGACTGTAGAAGCTCAATTTAAGCTATGCTTTGTAAACAATTGTATTTTTTCATAACCTGTGTTGGTCCAACAGACTGTCTGTGTATGATAAAGTAAGGGACAGAATGCTTTGATTGGGTTGAGGACGGTCATATATACTTTTGAAAGACAAGAGACAGATCAGAAAGTCACGTATTTCAAATTCTTCATTATTTTGTTCATTACTTCCAAATTAAAAATACATGTTGGTATTAAGCAGTCCATTAAAGAATATCCTATTATAAGTTTTATATGAGGAAAAAGTATATGATATTAGTGATGGATCCAAGGCTTTTTTTTGTTTGCTTGTTTTTTCAAAAATACCCATTGACACAAGCACTTTTGAGTACTTTGCACAGCAGCTTGCATTCTTCTTGCTGTCCCCACCAGAGCAGCAGATGAAGGATAAACTAGTAGCCCAGACTTCCTCTGTGTCTGAGGGACAAAGATGGACACATCCTGAGGGCGAATTCTTCATTGTAAAATAAATATCTAAGATAGTTGTAGTGAATCGCCCCTGGAAGTGTTTCTTACTCCTTTATGTTTTGATTAATTTCAGAAGTCTTACAGGATTTATTGGGCCAGATGAGTCCACCTCAAGAACCCTATAGATGATTGGTTTTGACAGCACTTTTATGCTTTTAGTAAGCTACTGTGCTTCAGGTGTCGTTTTTGGCACTCCAAGGAGAAACAATGGGCCCAAAACGACTGTGCATCCGGTGCAGCGCAAAGCCAGCAGTCGTTCCTACTGAAGGATTGTTGAAGCAAACCTCCTCTACTTTGCATTTCAACAAAAGAGGACTCATGCAATATCAGTTAGTTTGTTTTGACTTTGTGGTGGTAACTAACATGAGAAAATTACAAATTAGGAAAATTAGGGGCCAAGTCCCATTTTCAATATTACTTTTAGTGTAGCTAAAGGCTAAGTCTAATTAACTCCCAAAGGAGTCTAGTTTTCCAAATGAGTGAAAGCTGTTGAAAATTTTCTCTCAGTCTCAAATCTGTGGAAGATCTGAGATGTAATTTTAAAGAAGTAATAAACAGGAAGAAAATGAGAGTTTTTATTCTTCATAGTTGCTGTATTTACAGTTATTCAGGATTGACCCTTCTTTTCTAGTAGGTGAAGACAGAACAAATTTACTCCTAACAAAGCTACAGATTCCTTGTGCTGCTTCTTCCTACATGTTTTAAGTCAGGGCTTCCAACTTTGCTTGGTTTTCAACACTTCTTCAAATTTCGTTTTTGGCAGGATTTGAGGAAACATCTGGAGCCTATTTTCTGCTTTTACTGTGGTACAGAACATACAATATGCTTTATGTAGTATGTTTGTCTTAGAGTTATTGATATTTGCAGGAGCCAAATGCAAAGGAATGAGTGATTGCTTTGATATTTTATGGCTCTGTGTGTGAGTGGAATTGACTTTGATACATTTCATCTATTTTCAAAAAAGATGCCATCAGAAGTCTTCTGCAAATGAAATTCTAAAAAGAAATTGTCTACACGTTTGTATTAAGAAACCTTTGGAATTCAAATACAAAGGAATTGTTTTGAGAAATTCAGTATTTGTATATGCATATATAGATGGGTGTGTGTCTGTATATTTGTGTATATATACATGTGCATGTGCGTGCTTAAAATGTGCCCAGCCTACATATTTGAGAAAGAAGCAGACAGCACATTTTAAGCAGTGGAGAAATGATAAGCAAATAGTGAAGCGATAGGCAAGTTTATTTGAAGGCCTGGGATGCAAACAGCCATAAATGACTTGAGCTGTATTTAGGAGCACCAATCCTAATTTCAAGAGTATGTGTCACTTGTGCATCTTTGAAAATTTTACTATTGGTAAAAAATATTCCAAAAAAAAAAGAAGGAAAGAAACCCTATAGTGGGAAAGAGGATGCAACTAAAAGTGATTTAATATTTTTTAACTTGCACTTCTGGACAGTAATCCCATGTGAAACCAAGGTTCTATAAACCAAACTTACTAGTGTCTTTATACTTTTCTTTTTCCTTAATAGCTTAGGGATTTTGATGTAACAGCTAGGAATGCTTTGTTTTTCATAGTTTTGATGCACGTTTTTTGTGGCCAATTTTAGCAATTTTGTCAGTATTGCCAATTTTCAGATAAGTGCTATATATTTGTATTTGTCAGAATCTGTTATTTCTCAATATTTAGTTCTTTCCCTGTAATGTGAACGTACATTTTTCTACAGTGCTCTTAAGTTTGCTTCCAGCAATGAAAACCCAGAAAAATTCAATTAATATATTCTGAGATCACATGGGAATTTTACTTCATGTGCTTTCACTTCTGATCTCTGCTCCTGCTGTTTGCTCTCAGGATTTATTTTAGTTGTTAGATTTTTCTGGCTTTCTGTTGCCAACTCGTGGAAGTCTGTAGCTGAATTCAATTCTCACTTCTTTTAAGTTTGTCCTCTATTTTGCTTCTCATAGCAGGATTCATTTACTTCCTCTCTTCAGGCTTATTGCTGTTTGGTTCTTCCAGGGAAACAAAGTTAGGTTAATATTTTGTATTTCAAGTACACATAACTTCAGAGCTGCTCTTTGCATATAAATCTTTGCCTCTAGTATGAAGTGCTAGTTGTGTTGGTCTTAAGTCTCATTTGAACTCTATAAATCAGTTTTATACCCACATTAACTTGGTATCAGATTGTTGTCACTGTTTTTTAATTTGCTCTGTAACCTTTTGTACAGTTAGCTGCTTCAGAAGTTTTTCTGTGGGCAACTCTCTGTGTATGAAGTGTGATATGACCTGCTGTTCCTGTTTTCTGCGGGTACATTTTGTTAGTCCATTAAGACTGTTCCTAGAGCCTTTTTTAGGCTCTGTGGTTTTTTTCTTAGGCAAACATGATACTCTTCTGCTTTTTGTCATTTGTCTCATTTATTTTTTTTTTCCCCTTGAATGTTTCTATGGACACAGCTATATCCACTATATTTCCCCACTCTAAACTTCTGTAGGCAGAACGGACTGTATCGCCATTTCTTTTGGGTTGGACTGCCCGAGTTTACACTGACGGGAGTGGGGGGCACGGGTGAACCTCCATTCCTCCCGCCGAGCCCCCAGCACAGAGCCTGACTTGTAGCTTAAATCTGCATTGGTCTCTGACCCTGGCATTGAGCTGGCAGTGAAGTAAAGAGCGTGTGATGATCTCACGTTTTGTTTAGACTCAGTCTGAAAATTTCTCGTAGGTAAATTATGACCAATTAGCCGTAATGAAGTTTGGACTTCTGTGCTGGTCAAACCAAGTATAGAAGTGTTCTGCTTTCTTGTGTGCAAAGGGGATTTGTGCCTCCCCGAGAACGTCAGGGAGAATCATCAGTAATCGTAAGAGGTGTTCAATACCAGAACATGGACAGATCTATGCCTCGATTACTCTGTAATATTATGTGTGTTACCAGTTGCGTTACCTTAATTGATGTTAGCAGTTCACTACAGATTAGATGCTGATTTTGAAAAAAAAATTTGACCCCTCTGCTTATGCTCAGCTAATAAAAGTAATCTTGGTGTCAGGCATGGCTGAGAGAAAATATGGTTCCATTATGTGCCAACAAGCATTTTGGGATACGTATCCAAAGAGAGCTTTCTAGTATGTTGAAATGGAATTTTTCATTGTGCCACAGTTGTTCTTTGTCTCTCCAGAAATCAAGAATGTATGTGGTTCCTCTGTGTTCTTGTCTGCACACCTTGGCACGCAGGGATTTGAGTCTCTGAGGTTCCCTCCCTCTTTGAGTAAAGCTGTATTTGGAGCACTGCTTACCCTGTCATGAGAAGTTTTCTTTGTTTCAGTTCCTCAGATTTTTGTCGTCTTTGCGCCTACTGGGCTCGTGTTGGCAAGTTGTGACTCTTGTTCACAGTACTACAGTGGCTAGAAAGTTTGTGTATCGGAGCAGGAACATCATGAGACCTTTTTTCCCCTTCAGTTGCCTCTCTGAAAGGATTAAAAATCTTTCATTAATATTAATTGAAAATATTTCTGAAATGTTAACAATATTTTCAGTATTATTTTCAATATTATACTGATTTTCAGTGTTTATTCACTTGGCTGTTGCAGACTGAGGTTAAAAATTAGTACATACAAAAATAAAGGGTGTACGTCCCTTGTAATTACACGTTTGAGCTGTTGGAAATAACATGAAAGAGGTAAAGGAAACACTGACCACTTTCAGCAGTGCTTTTTTTTTGTTCTTTACGCATAGCATCTTACTGGCATGCTTGCCATTCCTTTTATCATAGTGTATCACGTTTGGATGACGTTTAGTCATCAACATCTGTATCTGAAATTATTTTCTGATTGAAATTCCTAGTACCGCCAGTATCTTTTTCTATCACTTTGAGATTTGATGATCTGTACAAGAAACGCAAGATAGTCACTTCTTCCAAAGACCTGATATGTCTTTACGCATCCTGTTAATACGGCATATCCTATATAATTTCAGTAATTTTTGTATTTTCGTAGCATTTAGGGCAGAAATAGACTATTATGGTCTGTACACTACCTCCCTGCATAGCTCAGACCATGGAATTGCACCCATTCCTGTATTAAGCCAACAGCTTCTTTTACAACCCTCTTTTTTTTATAGTAATAGTAATATTAGTTTCAGCGAATTAGAAGTTGGGGTGGGCCAACCTTAGCAACTGTAGAGGTAGAGCCAAAGTTTTGAACATCATCGTTCCCCCTCAGGTCTCACGGCAGTAGCTGCTCCCCTGTCCTGGCGGTCGCAGGGACCTTGGCCACTGCAGCAGGGAGCTGGGCTGGTGAATGCGGAGCAGGAGGTGGCACTGGCCTTGGAGAAGGCATCTGGGGTCCCCCCGGAGAGCGAGGCTGCTCCTTGGGGTGGCTTCTCCCAGAGGAGGAAGGTGGTAGTAGAGCAAGCCCCAGTGACTGCGCAGCTTTATCAGCTGGTTCCTAACGCATCCT